CTCCGCTGTGAGGCTGACGTCACACACAGATGGAAACCTGAGGGCTTTCTGGGTGCTGGAGAAGGGTTCCGTACCCTGTCCTTCGGGAGCTTAGCAGCCCTCGCTCGCTCTAGGTCCGTCCACGGGGCACGGCTGATGTGCAACTGACAGGACCCTAAACTGCCTCATGCAAAAGAAGCCACCGACACACCCAGCATCGTCTGCACGGATTCTGCGGGGCGCCTGGCACATGCCGGCCTCGCAGGCTTCCTGGCAGGACGTCTGTGGGTGCTGCCCAGGCGGCCTTGGCTCGGTGGGGGGATCCCCAGATGGGGTCGCGCAGCTGGCAGCAGGTGCAGGGTTCATCCCCGGTGCATGTCCCGCCAGACGCGGCCGCGCTCCTGCACCGGAGGGGCTCCAGCGAGGGCTTGGTGTGCACTGGAGAACTGGGTGGGGGAGGCCTGGACCCCGAAGACGGGCTGCCCTCCACCAGCACTGCGCCTGGGACGACAGGCCTGCCCTGCTGAGCGGCGGCGGCGGGTGTCCGACCGCTAACTTACCATGCGCTGGGCGCTGTTTAAAGACAGCGGCCCACAGCCCTCACCCGACCCTGTGCCGGGCAGTCATTTGCAGTCTGTACACGAGGAGACAGACGTCACGGCTCTTGCTTTAAGTTGGCGGTAGTGGCTGGATCGGACGAGGTCCCAGAGGGAGCTTCCCCACGTACAGTAGGGGACGAGGACTGCGCCTGGGGACGGTGAGCCTGAGTGGGGGTAATGTCGGAGGAGTAAAGGTTGATCCAGGCCGGGCGGGCAGGTGGGGTGCTCGCGGGGCTCGGGTGGGGGCAGGCACCGTCACGGTGGGCAGTCAGGGACCAGGCCCCCCGGCCGTCTGCCAGAGGCGGCGTGGCTGTGGTAGCTTCAGGGCGACCGGGCCTTGCTCTGCTTCTGTGTTTTGTGGTGTCTCCTCTCCTACCAGCTTCTTTGCGCCTCTTCCCATGATTTTAACCCCTTTCCTTTTTCGTCAATCGAAGTGGAAAGGAATGGCCGTGACCCCCAGCACTGTCAACTTCAGAGGACGCAGAGCTCATCTTCGAGTCGGGCGGCGTGAAGACGTGCACCCTGGTGCCGAGTTCTGTCTCTGTGTGTTGCTGGACAGAGACCCCACTGGTGTCATGTTAGTGATCTAAGTTCCACGCTGCTGTGGAATACAACACACGTGACACAAGCCACCTTTAACACAAACGTTTCCTCCTGTTACCCCGGTCTGGGAATACTGGGCAGTGGCACCTTTCACCCACTCACCGAGTCCCTTGTCCTGCTCAGCATGGCCCCCCACATGGACGCTCACTTCTGTGACTCACCGTGGAGGGTCCTCACTGTGCCTTCTCACGTCTGGTCCTCTCTCGTCCCTGTGCCGTGCCCTCCTCACCTGCTCTGACGGATCCTGCCGAGCCAGCACCAGCCTCCCGGTGCGGTCACGCCCGTGGACAGTCCTCAGTCTGCTTGACCGTGGCGTCTTCGGCACGTGCCGTCAGTGCTGTGTATTGTAGCACTTCATCGTTCTGATGCGTGTCAAGTGGCAAAAACACCTGCCTCCGTAGCGACAGGCCGTGGTAGTTTGTTATACTACGCCTTCCCGGAACAGGGCTAGGAGGCAGGTGGGGGATTTGTGAAGTTTGCTCCATATTGGGGAATAATTCTCTTCCCGGGTGAAGGTACACATGTCCATCAGAGCATTGCTTTTAAAAGGAATTTCTAGCTATTAAAACTACAAAACCTGTCTCATTTTTCCGTTTCCTTTAATTTGGGAATCTTAAATGCTAGTATTGATTTTGACGCACGTTGGGGGCCGAACTGGTTTTAGAGCATCCCCTGAGTAACGAGCTCCCGTAAGGGGAGGCGTTTCTGACACTGTCAGGGGGCTCGTTCAGCCGCAGCCCGTTATTCAGGGAGACCCTGTCTGAACGGAATGATGAAGGTGTGTTCCTGCTGGTCCCGTCTCAGCCACATCGCAGAGTGCAGGACCAAGGGCACGAAACAGCCCGCCCGGTAGGGGCACTGCCGACACCTCCGGGGGACGAGGCACCTGCTGCCTCCAGACGTGCCCCCCCGCCCCCTGGGCGCTGGCTCCGTCCCAGCAAGGTGCCGTCGTCTGGCTCCTCTTCTGGCGACACCTGCGGGTCCTTCCCTGCTGCAGTTCCGGGAGAGCAGCTCACCCTCCGCACTGAGGCCCCTCTCGAGGCAGCTGCCACGTCCTCCGCCATGTCCCCCGCCCTCTCCGTGTCTTGATGGAGGTGGGGGAGTGCGGCGTGTTTGCAGGGTGCTTTCTGGGGACGCTGGCTCTGTCAGCCTTGTCTGCACTCTGGAACCACCCAAGGGGCTGAGGCCCGGGTTGCACCCTGAACCAGGGATACTGTGTGTATGTGGGGGCCTCCCCGGTGGTTCTGGTGAGCGGCCCGGATGAGACCCCCACTGCAGAACGAGCGGGGATGGGGAAGGGATGGCGTCTTTGGGGTCTTTTATTCCCCAAGTTTGGGTTTTAGCTCAAATTCTTTGAAAAGAGAAAATATCTCACTCAGTATTTTGTTGAATGAATGAATGAAAATTAAGGTTGCGGTTTAAAGCGTTTTGTTGTGAAGCTGAATGCTACTTGGACTTTTTCTGAATGGTAAAATTTATAGTGAAGTGGAAAGGAGATTAACGTGTCTTATTTGCTGTCTTAATGACTGCATTTTATGTCCGAGGTAAATGGGTTCCCCGCGGTGAGAACCCACTGGACTGAAGCACTCCCAGCGACACCCGGCTTGCCGGAGGCACAGAACAGGCTTGTTCCAGCAAGTTCACTGTGCGTTCTCAACAACTCTGCTCTTTTGCATGTGCTTCGGGCGCCACTTCATTGGCTTTCTCGTCTCCTTGGTTTTCTCACAGCTCAAGAGATGGCTGCCCAGTGTGTGACAAAGGTGGAGCTGAATATTTCCTGCGACAATCTTCTGGATAAAGACATAGGGTCCAAGTCGGACCCGTTATGCGTGTTATTTTTGAATACGAGCGGCCAGCAGTGGTATGAGGTAATATTAAATACTTCAGGTGAAAAGCAAGCTGAATTGCTCTTTTGACAACATGGAGAATTTAAAAATGGTAAAGATACTCAAACCATCTCATCTGTGAATGCAGTTTTTGGGACAAGTCAGTCCTTGATTGTGGAATTTTTTATACACACGTAGAAACTTCCTTAACTCTCATGACTGTATTTAGTTAGATGGAGTACGTAACGACGTTAAAATGCAAGTCCACCTTTGATCTGAAGAGACCTTTTTGTTTTGGGGCGGGTATAGGTTGAGCGCACAGAAAAGGTCAAGAATTGCTTGAATCCCACATTTTCCAAGACTTTCATTATTGATTACTACTTCGAAGTGGTTCAGAAATTGAAATTTGGGATTTATGACATCGACAACAAGACTATAGAGCTGGGCGATGATGACTTCTTAGGAGAATGTGAATGCACCCTTGGACAAGTGAGTACAAATCGCTGCTGTACTGTGTTGTGTCTAAATTTTAAGCAGGGAATTGGGTGTTTTGATAAGTGCTTAGAGTTTAATTTTTCAAGCTGAAAACCATGTAGTCACCCTAAAGACGGTGTTCACACATTAGTGCAGTTGGCTTGAGCAGTCTAGGGCGACTGCTCTTTCTCATAAGGGCGGGGCCACGTGTTTTGGCGAAACCTGCTAATTCTTTTGAGTTAGGGGTGTTCATTGGACATTTCAGTAAGTGATGCCACTGCTCTGGCCGCTCTGTGTGCTGTTCTCATGATTAAGTCATAAAAGTAGCAGCAGCTTCTGATGACCTAACGGGCATGGCTGGTACCCCGATGCCTGTGCCACGTGGGTCTCCGCGCACTCCTCCTGAGCGAGGTGCACCCGCTTAAACCCCGCTCCCCAGGGAGCCTCCTCCGGCCCCTGGAGTCTCAGGCGCCTGTGCTCACTGAGTACTCTCTCCTGCCTCCACCTGCAGACCCCCTGCTGTGTCGTCCTGGCCCAGATAATCTGTCTTTCCAGAACAGGACAAGCATGGTCAGCTAGAGCGTGTCCTGTCCTGCTCAGCCTGCCCCCTAAGGAGAGGGTGCGGCTGTCTGCACAGAATGGGGACGGCTGTGGGGGAGGGGCTTTTTTTTTTAGTGGATGACATTTATTGTTCAAATTTGTCTTTGAAGAGTTCGTTTTTCAGTGTTGAATTGTTTGTGGTCTTGGCATTTCCTGTATCTCAAGGACAATATGGAGTTGACCAGTTTTTTAAAACTAAAAATAGTATCAAATAGAAAATTAAAGAAGTATTTGTTTTTGTGGAAAAAAGTGTAGCTAAAATTAAAATGAATTTGAGAGCTATATCTGATTCAGAGTACCTAGGTCTACTGTCTTACTTTGATGAAAATGGTATTTTGTGGGTGTCATGTACGAAACGTCCGTGTTAGGTGAGAGACTGAATTCCATTTGCTGAGTGTTCTGTGGGGGGTTCGGCTCAGAGAGCCGTGTTGTTGGGAACATCTGGCTGTCTCTCCACTACTTTGAAGCAGGACACAGAGACACCAGTGGCTGGTTGCGGGGACGGTGGGGGGTGGTCTGCCAGGATCAGGTCCTGGCAAGTGGTCTCCAGTGGGTTTAAGTGTGTCCATGCATTTTATAGTCATTCCTTCTTTGAGGAATGGACTTAATGTGTCCGTTTTAATGACCTCAAGTGAACTGTACACTCTCTCTTTCCTAGAAACCATTCGGTTTAAAAATTCACATGATGAAGTGAAATAGCTCTTTGCACCATTTTCTAATTTTAACAGATTGTTTCCAGTAAGAAGCTGACCCGACCCCTGGTGCTTAAGAATGGCAGACCTGCGGGGAAAGGCAGCATCACGGTAACCAGATGTTTGTCTTTCGCTTCAAGAGGTTCATGTAACAGGACGTGTGGAAACCGTACCCGTCAGACCCCTACTGCCGTGTTTACTGTGAAATGCTGAGTGGCGCTCCCCACAGACGGGGATGCGTGGGCCAACAAGGAGGACCCCTTCTTTGAGTTTCCGGGGTGCCCGTGGGGTCAGGTGCAGCGTGGTGATGCTTCCTCGACCTCATGGAAGCGTAAATTCCCAAGTTAGAGAGAAACTACCTAATCATCTGAATGGATCAGTCTGACTCTCTGCAAAGCAAAATGGTCCCCTTGACGTGACAGAAACTTCCCTGATGGACTGTTCTACACAGCTCTCGCACTGCGACAGGCCCTGGAGCCCCTCCACTCTGCGGGCCTTTCTGCACCTGCTCCCTGCACCTCCTCCCGCCTGGCTTTTCACTGCTGAGTACGGGCCCTGGGCAAATGAACATTTGCCGTGTCCTGTGTCAGATTTCAGTTTATGTAACAACACGCTTTAAGTTTCTCACCGCTAGAGCTTCTGTGCAGGCTTTCACTGCCGGGAGCCACAGCTCTGACTGAGCTCTGTGCGGGAGGGAAGGCTGGCTGCCGGGAGCCATGTTTGAGGGCTGCTGTGATTATCAAACATGTATCTCTGAGCAGCTGCTTCGCTCTAGTTTAAACTTCCTGAAACAGGAATGTTGGCTCTGTTGGGGCGTTGACTTCTACGGCACAGAGAACTTCTCAGGGGTTGCTACCTTATTGCTCTTGGAGCCATGACAGCCTGGGATTTGTTTTTAAGTAGAATAAGTCTTTCTACTTAAAAAGTTAAATTGGATGAAAAACGTTAGCCTGATATTTCAGCTGATAGTGTTCTGTAGGTGCGACTTACCTGTCTCAGTGTTTGAAGAGCTTTAGCTGCTGTTGTGACGTTTTCCAGGGCTGAGATTTGTCACTGGAATGGGGGCGGCTCCGGTTTGGGCAACGGCATCTAAAAAGGATGTGGCATAATGCAGATTTGGCATATTTGGAGGAAAATGTTTATTTCACACGTATAAAAGATACAATGATAAATCTAACTGTACAGTTTAGTTATGAAACATTTTAGAATTCTTTTATATTAGTATAGACTTTACATGCTATTAGATTTATTTTGAATCCCTAAAACACTTTCTTCTACTTACCTTACTACTTGTAGATTTCGGCTGAAGAGATAAAGGATAACAGAGTCGTCTTGTTTGAAATGGAAGCCAGGAAACTGGATAATAAGGTGGGTAGGTGATGCAGATTTCAACGAGGATATCCTGTTTGAGAAAATAATAATGTCATGACATGAGCTCCGTCATCTGAGCATCACTTAGAGTATTAGCTGTTTCCAAATTCTCTCGCGCGCGCGCGCGTGTGTGTGTGTGTGTGTGTGTGTGTGGGTGTGTGTGTAAGCAGAACAATTTTCCCTTTAC